AGTTTTCTTTAAAGAGGATATCTTGTGCACAAAAGTTCAAGATTTCATACTTCTATTCAAAGTTATTTACCAATATTTACTCATAAGCACAGCTGTGAGGACAAGAACAATGAAAACATCTCTGAAAAATTAAATACATTTCCTTTTGTTAGGGAATGAAAAATAAATTGTCCTGGGGTAGAATTGAGAGAAGAAAAAAATTAAATAATTGCTAAAGAGACAAGTACACATGAATTAAGATTTTATGTAATACCTGAGAAACTTTAAAAACTGCTGCTGATCTGAATTTTGAATCTTTGGCAAAATAGACCAAGAAAAAAAATCTTTTCTTGGCCTGTGTCTAATAAAATCAAAGCATAAAAACAAAATAAGTTAACTAATAACATTATTTCAGCCATTAATGAAATCAGTTCACAAACAGTAAGTTTAAGGACATACATATAACTCAACGAGCAACACTATCCAATGCAGAGTTGAAGAGACCAGATTCCTTTTCCTGTTTTCATATTCACACAACCCAATTTCTATGTGCGGTTTTCAGAGGTTCACTGTGAGTTCTCTAAAGGTTTCTTTATCATTGAATATTATAAGTAATTATGTTCCCAGGCGGCAGTTCAGAGCCTAGTACCGCACTGGAACAACACCACAGGCAGGTCAGGTGACCTCTCTCCACTTCTCCTCTCTCTGGCGCTGAGGACAGACAAAGTGATATGTCTGTCATACGCCATTACCATTAGAACAGAATCTTGTTCTTTTATTACAACTGAACTCCGCCAGATTTCCCAGCAGGTATGCTAAGTGAAATCAATGTCTTGGATTTCCAGGCTGAGCTTGGAGGTCACAGCCACTCTATCATTTCTCAGCATTATCCTTTCTCGCGCGTGCACACACTCTCCAAGCCTCCAACTGGCACACAGCAGATTGAAAACAGCATGCATCAGAGGACCCATGCTGTACAATTTTACAGTCTTTTGGAGCCCCCTCCTTTTGATTCCCCCTTTTATTTTTTTTTTTTGCAAATTGCAAATAAGTTTTGTTTGTGTCCTTCTCCAGAGTTGTGAGGCAAAGGCAAAGGCATACCCAGGAGGAAGGGCAGGCAATAAAACCAGAGAGCATGATTTTTGACAGCTGCCAATAAGATCATTTTCCTTACATCATCACCTGGATGTGACTTACGAGTCCATTGTTCCGAACAATAAATGGACTTTCAATGTAAACCATCAGGTTTATGCTGGGTAGGTATGCAGACAATGCAAAGCCCTTTAATAAAATAATTCTACAATATATAAGACAGACATGAAAATTCACTAATAAAACACATAAAAATACCCCCAGGACACTAAGAACTTATTGGATAAAATTTTAAATGCAATAATAAATGATAATTATTATATGGAAGTAAAATACCTTTGCAAAGTGAAAATATTTATTATGCTATATATAAATGTGTCAATTCCAGACTGTAAACAACTAAATTCATATTTTGAAAGGGGTCCTCTTTATTTACTGCTGGTTTTATTTATTTTTTACCATGTTCTTCATTCAAGTGATGATGGTAATATTTATTGGTCAGGTTATTTTTAACCTATTAAAGTTTACTGCTCAGTGAAACACAAGCACATTGAAGGCATCTTTTCTGACAGGAAGTGCTTGTAGACAGTATGCTAGAGGATACTGAGCAAAGAAAGGACATCTTTTCATTCTATTGTTGTTCTTACTTAAAAAAAGAGGCATTTTATTTGTGTTGAAGTTTTCAAGTATTTAACAAAAATTGCAGATGAAAGGATATATAACATCTGCAGTTTTATTAAACTTTATATGATAGAAAAGTCATGAGGGATAATTTCCTTTTTCGTTTTAAAGAATAGTTTATTGATTTTTAGGGAGAGAGGAATGGAGAGGAAGGAAGAGGGGGAGAGAGAGAGAAACATCAATGTGAGAGTAGATCATGGATCTGCTGCCTTTGCACGCCCCCTAACTGGGATTGAGCCTGCAAGCCAGGCATGTGCCCTGTCTGGGAATCAAACCAGCAACCTCCTGGTGCATGGGGCAATTCCCAACCAACTGAGCTACACTGGCCAAGGCAGGGATAATTTTCAAAGAGAACTGAATTTTAAAGGTAAAATATAAATATATGTGTTAAATTATATATAATCATAGCTATAGAAACAACCTTTTTTTTTTTGCTAATGTTAAATAAACACAGATATGTGAAACCATAAAATGTGGCAGAATTTTAACATTACTTAATCAGTTTTATACTCAGTATATGGAGTTCTATGAGTGTCTAGAACAGCCGTGGGCAAACTACGGCCTGCGCGCCGGATCCGGCCCATTTGAAATGAATAAAACTATTGAAAAAAAAAGACCGTACCCTTTTATGTAATGATGTTTACTTTGAATTTATATTAGTTCACACAAACACTCCATCCATGCTTTTGTTCCGACCCTGCGGTCCAGTTTAAGAACCCATTGTGGCCCTCGAGTCAAAAAGTTTGCCCACCCTTGGTCTAGAATCATCTATACTTATAATAGGGTAATCTTCAAATTGGTCAGGACTCCATCACATAACGACCAATCAGTAGGAGGGTGGGGCAGCAAGCTACAAGAGGCAGAGAGCTACAGGAGGGAAGAGCAGCAAGCTATGTACAGTGGAGGGCTATGAGCCGCGGTGGGCAGGGCGGCCACCTGAGGCAAGCTGCAGCAAGCTACTCGCGCACGAATTCATGCGTAAGGCCACTAGTACAGTTTATAAAGCAGCATCCTAATTTTGGCAAAGAAAACCTTCAGTCACTTTTATGTTTGCCATTGTTACCTAAGAATAATGCTCAACAAACATCTGAATAGATGAATGAATGAATGGATGAATGGATGCAAAAATGGATAAGACTGACTAACACCAAAGCTTCATGATTAGGTGATTTGGGGAGAAGACATTAATACTATTTTGAAATGATAAGTAAAAAAACAAAATGTCCTATAAAAATAATACTGAATGTGAACTGTAATTCAAAAATATAAAATGTCCTAATGTAAAGCATCATTATAAAGTATGGCGTAAAAATTCGCATTAGTAAATCAAGAAAAACAGTAATACCTCACAGAGTTATTTGTTGTGTGTGACAATGACTATGTGGCTACAGCTCCTTATTTTACTCAAAATTAGTCTGTGTATGTAATATATTAAAACTGCTGGCCCACAAGACACTGCTTTAAAATTAAATTGTATTGACTATATGTTATAATTATTATCAAGTTTGAGAAAATGTATGTTCTAGAATGACAGTTGTAGGGGAGCTGGGGGGAAAGGGCAAAGGGATTAAGTGGTATCAATTGGTAGTTACAGAATAGTCACAAATATTTGGATTACAGCATAGAAAATACAGTTTAATAGAGTCATGATGACTGTGTGTGTGTGGGGGGGGGGGGGGGGCGGTGGCTGCTTGAAGTATCAGGGGAACCACTCTGTAAAGTACATGATTTTCTAGCCATTTTGCTGTACATATGAAACTAACACAGAATACTGTTGAATGTAAACTGTCATTGAAAAAAAGGTATGTTCTTCTGTCATTATAAAGTAAAGCAGACCAGGCCTTAGGTATATATTAAGCACTCAACATGCAAGGCCCATTACACAGCTGAGAGAGATCTGACAAGTGGCATATGTATATTTCCTAATGTCACTAGTGTGTACAATCATTTGTACTGTATATTTGCACATATTGCTGTGGAGTCACCTTCTAAGGTCCCTGTCCAGGTTAAATCATACTTTCAAATATATTTCTCTTTTACTAATACAGCAAAGGACTTCAGAGTTTTGAGAAGGCAGAGGTTGGAGCACACTTTCCAAACTGACTCCTTCTCTTTCCAGTTCAATCTCTGGATTAATTGGTTAACTGTAAAAGGTAGCTGCCAGGGCACAAGAGGCTTAACAGATTTCTGGATTTTTTCCTCTGTCAATACTTCCTAATTTTTTTTTCAACTGTGTGACTATGACTACTCTTACACTGTTACTCTTTAGACATTTTAGCATGGCTTTCATGGAATGAAGAACAGAAGCATTTTCTAGGTAGTTCAGCAAAACACACACACACACACACACACACACACAAACACACAAACACTCAGGATATATAACTGTATCCATTTTCTACTTAACATTTTCTAATAGGTAGAGAATATGTGCAATTACTTCCCTAAGTAATCTCAGGGAAAATTACTTTATGGCTACTCTTCTTAATTCATCCATAGAAAGTTTAATAACTTCACATATCATATAATAAGTCAGGTCTTTACAAACACAAACATTTAATTTTTCAGCATTCCTCTTCTTCTAAATCAAGAAACAAATTATTAAAACCTCCCCTGATCCTTTTTCATGTTCTCTTAGGAAATGTTTCTTTAGCTCCTATAACTAAACTAGCTCTAAATAGTCTTACTTCTAACACTATTATTATCTCCATATCTTTACCTGATAATTACATTGGATAAATGGTATATCTAAAATTATACTTATACCATGACACATTATAAGTGATTGATATTTAAATAAAACATTTTCTATAAGCCCCAATTGTACATATATTTTAAGTTCTATTTCAGTCGCCCCTTCTTTGGGAAACCTTTCCCACGGTCTCTCACTGAAGGTCATCTCTCTGCCCTAATGACATCCAAAGCACCTTATCTTTAAGTCTTTATAAGAATTTGAATCATAGAGTATGGGTATCCATTTTATCACACTGTAAGCTACTTCTGTACAGTCTACTATCCTATAAACCTTTGTAGCACTCATTTCTTACAATAGCTGTCTGTGGAATAAATGATGCGAAATGTATGTATGTAAATTTACATGCACACCTCACTGATCCTACTAGACTCTTATCTCCTTGAACACCCACAGTTTAGCCCCATTGCTGGCACATAATAGATATTCAATAAATATCACTGAATGAAAAGTAAAACTCTCAATGGTAAAATACATAGCTTCTTCAAAAGAGTACCTTGCTTTTGGGTGGCGGGCTGTTTGTGCTCTTGTCTGTGTGAATGCTGGTAGGAGATACAGCAGCACCGAGGTTGCCTTGGGGTATGCCTGGGAGCTTTCCTCCTGGGGACACCTGCATCGCAGCCAGCTGGGCAGCATATAACTGCTGCAGAAGAAACAGAGAGAGAGAGGGGAAAATTGAAAAAGGACTCAGTGATAAAATTAATGCACCCTTCAGAAAGTACCTACATTCAGATATGGTGTTTTTCCTCTGGGTATTTTTGCTTAGTGCCCTGGAATATTTAAAGAAAGAAGCTATCAGCTAAACTTCCATGACTTACTTTTTATGGGAGGAGTCACAGAGACTACATATAAGAGGTTTCAGCTTCGGTAGGCGCAGAGGTTCTAAGCAAACAACAGGCTTTATAGTTACTCTTTCCCAAGATCTCTGGAAGGCAGGTATATCCTTCTTTGGTCAAGACCTCTTTTTGTTCTACATATTTTAAATTTTATACAGTGTGTTAAAAATAATGCAGCTTCATATACAAAGTAATTTTCCCATTATTCATGTTTAAAATACTATGCCTTTTTTTTCAGACTTGTTGAAATGAGCACCTGTAACAATTTTTTTGTGATTGTTAGTTGTGTAGAAATACAAAAAAAGCCATTGAGTGGGAATGGAAGGAGTTTTGGAAGAACATTATCTGGTCAGTCTACCTACACTGATAAAAATTAAGATACTGCCAGAAGTCCACTTTACTTCATAATATCTAAACAAAGACAAACCTGAAATTATCTTGAGGATTAGGGTTTTCAGGATTACTGTTTAAACATACACACTTTGCTAGGCCATCACATAATCATTCTTACTAAATAGCCAATAAAACATTCTCCAAGTCAATTTAATAATAGAGCAAACTTTTAATTTGATAATGATAGCTATATGATGTGGTATCTTAAAACAAGGAGGTTGTTTTAGATTCAAATAGTCAGATCAAAATTTTAAATTAATATTCTTTTCATTTCTATTTTGCAGAATGTGAAAAATTTTAAATCTGGATGGGGGGACAATATATAGTTATTTCCCCCCAATTCTGATCAAAACTTCTCACTATTCGCAGATCACTGCATTTGCCACCACGCACATCTGATTTTTCTCATTGGCCTCTATTTCGAATACATTTTAATTTGTATCAAATAATATGTGTTCCTTAAATTTACATTACATTACAGAAGCATAAAAAGGCTTCAAGTCTTAGAGAATCTAATGAATCTCAGGTCTGCTGGAATTTTAACATAAACCAGACATTTTAATACTGCTGAATCCTAATCTGGCTATTCACAAGTTAACAGGAAATTTCAGTGGATTTAAAGAGTCCAACAGTGGTTCTCACACCTGGCTATATATGTAAGGGATGGTAACTTACAAAATAAATGCTGCTGTGACATCATTCAACCTTATAAAAAAATTAAGGTCATTTGTCTATCCATTAAGATATGTATGTTGACTGATGTTAAAAGAAGAGAGTAAAGAGATGATTAATATTTGATTTATTACACACTCTTAAGGCAAAATTAAAAATAACAACAGTGTCTGTACTCAGTGAGATCTACAATCCCAGAACCACTGGTTGATCTTGTTGAGAGGGAAGGAGTGACATGTGGTGGGGATTGAAAAGCCACCCGAAGTTATAAGCATCCTGTGAACTATATAACACACGTCTTTTATATGCATATACAATCCTATATAATAAAAGCCTAATATGCAAATTGACCAAACAGTGGAATGAATGGCAGAATAACCAGTGGAACGACCAGTCGCTATGACACACACTGGCCACCAGGAGGCAGACGCTCAATGCAGGAGCTGCCCCCAGCTGGCAGGCCCAAGGCCAGCCAAGCCAGGTGCCAACGGGGGCCCCCGATCACCCCGCCGGTCACCCTGAAGATCAGCCCTGATCACAGGCCAGGCCTAGGAACCCTACCCATGCAAGATTTCATGCACCAGGCCTAACATTTTTCTTGAAAGGATGGCAGATAAAACCAAGAGTTAAATAATAAGATGCATTATAATAAATTACTGAATTACTTTAACAGTTAAGTTCTTCTAAAAACAAATTGAAACTCTAAACATAAAGAACTAAAGCTTTACAATAATGCTCACATCATGAGGCTAACCAGACTAACAGAATAACTCTTTTGCCTTGCAAAATAACTTGACTCTTATCTTAAAACTAATGAACACACAACATCATAGAGTATTAGGTTTGCCTGTCTTTATATTGCATAAAATATTGCATTTTTTATTCCATTTCCCTCTCCCCATCCCTGCAGTAAATCAAACAATGATTTTTTAAGTAAACAAAACAATCACATATGATTAAATTGAATCTACTCATTGATTACTTAGTGTATTCTTGTCGGTCATATGTTCATAAGTATGTTTCTTTATGTATAGATACATATAAATAATCATCACTTTTGTCTCACATTGTTCCATAAGCCTACATTGTTGTCTCTCCAGCATTTTGAGTTCCTTCAAGGACCATGATTTCTACCTCTAGTGGAACAGTTAAAAGTAAGGCAAACCTCAATTCTAATCCCATGTCTGAGCCAGTGACCTTGGGCAACTAAAATGAGGCACAAATCTATAATCTACAAATTTAAGGATAAATAAAACTTTTAGTAGGGTTGCTGTGAGAAGCAAATCACTTAATGTGTATAAAATGCTCAGAAAAAACACATGGCAAAGAATGCTTGATAAATAACTAATAATTTTATACGTATTCATTGATTTTTAGAGAGATGGAAGGAGAGAGATAGTAACACTGATGAGAAACATTGATTGGCTGCCTCCTATAGGCCCCCTACAAGAGATCGAGCCCACAGCCTGGGCATGTGCCTTGACCAGGAATAGAGCCAGCTACTTCTTGGTTCATGAGTTGATGCTCAACCACTGAGCCACATAATCCAGGCAACAAGGTAATATATATGCTAACATCCTGCTATATATTCAAGACTAGTGATGGCGAACCTTTTGAGCTCGGCATGTCAGCATTTTGAAAAACCCTAACTTAACTCTGGTGCCATGTCACATATAGAAATTTTTTGATATTTGTAACCATAGTAAAACAAAGACTTATATTTTTGATATTTATTTTATATATTTAAATGCCATTTAACAAAGAAAAATCAACCAAAAAAATGAGTTCGCGTGTCACCTCTGACACGCGTGTCATATGTTCGCCATCACTGCTCTAGACTATGGTAGTATGGTGAAGGATACAGAAAGCGTATAAACATAATTTCTTTACTAAGTAAAGATTGATAAACATAAAATAGTGAGACTATTTGTGTACTATAACTGCATGCTACTGAAAAAAAAAAACACAGGAAATCAGTCAGTGCATTCTGATATGTTTTCACAAAAGATATGTAGCTGAGCTGGAGGTGGCATTCTAGAAAGGGAGAATACTTTAAAGAAAGGTGCAGGGGTACAGGGGCAGGAGTAATTTAGTTGTTGCAAAAGGAACACAGGATAGTGTGGAGCAGCGAGTAGTTGAGAGGATGTGGTAGAGAGAACAATGACCTAATTGAGTGTATGTCCTGGGAAGAGTAAAATAGTAGTGGATTTGTAGGCTTAGTTCACCTTCTAGAAAAGCTTGAAATACAGGCAAAAGGGTTTAAATTTAATATGTGGACAAGAGAAAGCCACTGAATGTTTGAGAGCAATATATATATGACATTTTTAACTAAAACAAAGATAAGGCAAAATTTATCAGTTATGAGGTTATCAAAATTTAGTAGTGATATTTTTAATGATAACTTGAGTTGAAAAGTAACACTTGTGACAATGAAGAGGGGAAAATGACTCCAAATTCATACTAACTGGAGAAAAGTGAAAAGAAACTGAACAGGATGAGTCATGTAATTTATATAAAGTCTCCATTTCATAGATATGGTACATAAATATTCACCTATCATACATTCTCACTAGTGTACATAGTCATTGTATTATCTTTGTAAGACAGCCAAAACATATATATTTTCTTCTTTGTTTTAGAAAAAGGAAGAAGTAAGTAACACAGAGAAATTTTCCTATAATTTTGCATTGTGGTAGTAAAAATGCTAGAACCATTCAGTCAGGGGCTTCAACTAACATAGAGCTCATTAAACCCTTCTCTAAGTATTAAGAGTATGATGCAATGTATCTATAACAATATGAGCTTGAATTGTATTTATCTTAGCCAAACCTAATCAGTGTTTGTTTTTTCCTGGACTGCGCCATGTGTACCAAAGCATTACTAGGCTGACAGTGGGCGGGGAGTTCATTAGCAGGCATTCCTGATGCTGAGTTGTAATGATCCCATGTAGGGTCAAAATAAAGTCTGGCCTGGCTGGTATGTCTCAGTGGGTCAAGCACCATCCCATGCACCAAGAGGTCACTGGTTTGATTCCCATCAGGGCACATGCTGGGTTGTGGGCTCGAACCCCTGCTCCCCCATAGGTGGAGTGAAGGAGACAGCTGATCCATATTTCTCTCTCATTGATGTTTCTATCTTTCCATTCCTCTCTCTCTAAAATCAATAAAAAATATGTTTTAAAAAAGTCTGATAGGATGATAAAGAACAGATATTTTAACTTGAACTAATTAATTAGTATAGGTGATAGTGCTAATTTGCACTATTAATTAATTGCTAATTGGGGGGGGGAAATAATACAGTTGTATTTGGATATCATAGCTTTTAACCAATTAGATATGACTGTATTTTCTTATGAGGGTAATCATTTTACTCAGATAGTCTAAGCTAGTGTTTAGTACTTTTCAGTGCTAGGAGTGGAGAAATTCCACAATACAGCCTATTTGAATTCTGAGGTAAATTACTTCATTAATTACTTGAGATGGCAAGTTCTTGCCACTTCACCCTAATAAGTAAGCTATTTTCCCCAAATTGCTAAAAACACAACTTCTCCCATTGGCTACTAGCCTAGTGTCTAATTGCCATCTGGAGTATTTGGACTCAAAGCATTAGGTAGTGATGAAACTATATATCACTATTTGTTTCCTCACACCATTTACTGCCTAGAAAACTCCTTGAAGGCAGGGATTAGGTCTCTATTATTTAGTGCTTTCTCAGAAAATCCTAGGAGGAAGAAAAAAGAAGA